TGGGTTCGACTTATCGCGTCCAGACTAGACGCGATAAGTCGAACCCAGAACTTCGATTTCCAGCCGACGAACTAGCTGGTAAGTGTAGCCAAGGCTGAGTAGAACTAAGTAACATTTTTTTAACAAAAGTTTTTCAGCAAAAAAATGGAAATTCAGCAGCACTGAAACATTTCACACATTTCTGTTAATTTTGCTGAAATGGTTGGAACCCCGCATCTCTCCCCATCCTCCCAAAAAAATCCTTAACAATGAAATGTTTCATTTTTTTTTATTTGAAACTTTTTTGAAATTTCCTTCAGCTATACCTGGCTTTCAGAACAACCATCTACTGTTACTCATCAAATCTGGGCAGCACACATACTGCTCCAACCTATGTTGGGTGAGGAATGAGCCCCACTTCAGCCCAATACAGAAGAGACACAAAACTGGTAAAATACTAACTTTGCTCTGTCCTTCCCTCCCCTCCCTGATTCTTGAGTCTCAAGCTAGGTTCCCTGTAAACTTTGCGGCCACGTGGCCACCCAGCCCAGCCCCCCTGGAGCTGCCAGAGAGAGGAGCCCTCGCTCAGCCCAGCCCAGGGTACAGTTATTGACCACACATGTTATCACATGTTCACTGTGATGTATTCTGAACTGCCACGGCCAGGGAGAGGTGCCCCTCCCACCCAGCCCAGGTGCAGCTTGGGAGAGAGAAAGCTGGGGCAGCCTGCACCTCCAAACCCCTCATCCCTTGCCCCATCCCAGAGCCTGCACCCCCAGCCAGAGCCCTCACCAACACACCCCAACCCTCTGCCCTATCCATGAGACCCCTCCCACACCCCAAGCCCCTCATCCCTGACCCCCATCCAGAGCCCTCACCCCCCACATACCCTTTGCCCTAGCTCTGAGCCCCCTTCCACACTTCCTGCACTCCAACCCTCTGCCCCAGCCCTGAGCCCCTTCCTGCACCCCAATCCCCTCATCCCTGACCCCATCCCAGAGCCCTCGCCCCCAGCCAGGGCCCTCATCCCCCTGCACCCCAACCCTCTGTCCCAGTCCTGAGCCCTTCATCCCCAGCCCCACCCCAGAGCCTGCACCCCAACTCTCTGCCCCAGCCCTGAACCCCTCATCCCCAGCCCCACCCCAGAGCCCACGCCCCCATCTAGAGCCCTCACCCCTCCCAACCCCAGTCCTGAGCCCCCTCCCACACATTGCCTCCATATTGATGCACATAATTCTGCACATGGGTGGGAAAAATTAGAGGGAACACTGGTCAAGACAAGCTCAGCTTTGGCACAGAGATGAACTCTGTCCTGAAAGCTTAGCATTCACAGGAAGCAGATGTGACTCATGCTTATCTTCAGTGATAGGGGCAGGCTCCTTAGAAATTTGGGGGCTTCTGACTCTGCCACTACGTGGAAAATCATTGCTAATTTGTCTGGCAAAGGCCTTCACATTCAATCTCTCCTATTTAAGTCTGAATTTGGGAGCTCATGGAAGGAGAAACTTCTTTAATAAAAAGACCAGGCTGTTCCGTTATGCTGGAAAGAATGAGTGAAACGGGGGATGGGGAAGGGGGCGGGGAGGGAGAGAAGTGTGGAATGGAAATTGGGAGAAACAAGGAAAGGGGAAGAGAAAAAAAGAAAGAGATGCAAAACCAAACAAGAATAGGGATGAAATAGATGTGAAAATAAAGTGAATGGGGTAAGAAGAAGAGTAGGTGAATAATGATATTTAAAGGGGGGAGGCAGCAGATATCAAGGGTAAGAGTTCCCAAAATCACTGTAATTTTAGCACACAAATATCTCAAGTGAACCAATGTGTTCCAATCATCATCTTTTATGACCTAGAGAGAGGCCTCTGCCCTCTTCCCCTCAAACACACACAACCCTTCACAGCGCCTAGACACGTGTTAAACAATTTGAATTTCACAGTTTGAAAGCTGGACTTTTTCTGTCAACTGATTGGTTGGTTGTTTGCTCCTGGCTTCTTCTTCTTCCTACTGTTCAGTCTACTCTCCCTCCTTTGTTTATCCCCACCTCCTTCACAGTCCTTCCATTGCAGGCCTCACTCTCCCCCATCTTCCTCCCCCCCCCATCTTCCCTTTTCTTCCTCCCTTCTTAATGTCTCTCTTTATCATACTCCCTCCCAGTCCCTTCCTCCTCTTTACTCCTATCTCCTGCCATTCCCCCTCATTCTATCCCTGGCCCCATAATAGAAAAAAGAAATTGATAAATAAAAGAGAAGTGAAACTAGCCAGACCATGACTCGCTCCCAACTTTGCACTGACCTTCATGCTTGGAAACTTCACCCCTTCTCCACCTTGTCTTTTTAGAGGGTAAGCTGTTCAGGGCAGGGATGGTCTTTCACCCTGTGCTTGTACAGCATGCTATGCTAGGAGATCTTGTTCCTGCCTGAGGTCTCTGGGCACTATGTCACTATCAATAATAATTAATGAAGCGCTACACGTACGGAAGAGGTAGGCGGGTTGACGACATGGACTGACATTTGGGAACATATATGGCCGTTAATAAAAGGCTGTTACAGAGATTTCTACTGTTATTGCGTAAGGCATTAGCTGCTTAAGACTGCCATTAAATTCCATGAGTTACACATTAACATATGAGAAATGATCAGAGCTGCATGTATTTGACTGTTGGAGAATTCTACGCATAAGTGAGTTTAATGAATGGTAGCTGTAGATTGAAGTAAACACCTTGGGCCAGATCCTCAGAGAGTGTAAATTGCCGCAGCTCTGATGTTAGTGGAGCTATGCCAATTTACATGAGCTGAGGAGCTTGCTCATAGTACAGTGTTGTACTCCTAGAAATTCTTATACAAAAAGGTCAAGGCTGGAGTACAGGGGTATTTTGGGGTCTCCTTGGTGTATTACAATGCCATGTCTAGCCATCATTACTAAATGGTGCTTTTTAAAAAAGAACAAGCTATATAGGAGAGAGATAACTAACCAGAAACAAGGGGTGAAGACTGACACCAGTGTATACTTCCATAGCTTTTGTAGGGGAAACCTTTTCTATTTTCCACAGCCATGGAGAACTCCAGACACACCACAACGGGTTGAGGAGAGATTTGGGAGGCACAGTACTGTGAGGTTTCTCTCGGCATCCTTGAAGAATGGGGTTTGGGTAGGAAAGCCAGAGAAGTGAGGGCAGAGCTAGTGGATCTATCATACGATAGAATATTTGTGTTCCACGCCTTGCTGTGACAGGAGGAGGTTGAGTGAGCTCACTCCGCTCACTCCTACACTGCAGAAACTTGCCAAAGAGCCCTCCAGCTATGGCTAATTAGGAACAGGAAATAAAAGGAAGTGACAAGGTTAGCTACAGATCTGTCTTAGGAACACCTAAGTGGCCACATGGCTTCACTGCTATTGTTGTTCAAGCTAGCAAGATCAAAGTTAGTTTGGGTATGCCTACATGTACTGCATTCAGACCTTTGATTGCAGTGTATACATACCCTATGAGGAAGCGAAGACTCTCATTCACACTGAGAGTAATGAAACAGAGACAGACAGATGCAAGATGGCTACCAACTGAAGGCAGCTGTGACTTCCGTCTCATTGAGAACAATGGGACATAGCATCCATTTTGAAAGAGGCAAATTTTTTGTGGAATTCTTTGTAGTAAACCATTGTATCTAATGCAAAAGAAACCAACCTTTCAGTTATGAAGCATCATTGGAAAGAATTAGCATTAATTCTTTAAAAAAATAGTGTATCCTACCTACAAGACTTCAGTGAGTTTTAACTATATGGGAACTTTGAAGAAACTGTTATTCTGTTACTGAGATCATTAGAGGCAGAAAAAGTTGGGCAGTAAGATTCTTAAAGGACCCATTTGTAATTAATTGTAATTACTAAACTAACACATTTAAATTTTTCAAAGAGCAAATGCTGGGATTTTGGGGAGGATATGCTGGCTTTTTTCATACATAATAGAGGTTGGAAACCCTGCTCTGAGTGCAAAACTCAACACTGCTTAACTGTAGAGGTGTTATTGCTACCTCTATGATGTTTATCATCTTGATATATTAATTTTCTCTTCTTTTCTCTCTTGATCTTAAAAACTGTATTTGTAAAAGTTGAGATTTTGAGTTAATTGGCCTGAGTCATATCTGGTCACCAGATAGCTTCGCACACCATCCCAAATAGTTTTGAGACAGCAGCAATCTCTCACCATATATGGCATAGAGTAGACAGTATCTTTGCCACATTGCTAGTGCTTGTTCAGTATTTCATGTTTCATAATGAAACTTTAAAATGATACCATTCTGGTTAATCACTGCCAAAAAAGTACCTGTAAACCACAAAAATGCTATGGCAAGTGTTTGCACTTACAGTAAAATATTAACAGGTATCCTGTAAAACAACAGCAACAAAACACTTAAAATGTATTGGATTTACTGTCATGCTAAATTTGTTTATTTCTTTGAATTATAAAAATATGCCTATGCAATGCTGTAGATACCCTATAACTACTAATATTACAACAAAACTTGAGTGGCATTCTTCTTATTCTTTGATTTCCTGTCTTTCAGCTCAACAGTTACAATGAGGCTGAATGAAGTCTTTCCACCACATTTAATCTTGTTCCAGTTTTGTGACTTTTTTCATCGTTTAATGTTCTTCACTGCATCTATCCTATGCATCCTTGGTCTTCCTCTATTTCTAGTTTCTTGTACTCTGGTATGTATCACCATGTATGGGTCTATTCTTGACACATGACCAATCCATCTCAGTCATTTTTCTTTAATCATCTGTAATAGTGTTATTTCTTGCCGCCATTTTTTTATATCTTCATTTTTTTAATTTTCAGCAGTCCTTAGACTCTCAGTATTCCTCTCAGGCAGTTCATTTATTCAATCAGATCATTCATTCATCAGCTTTCCTCTACCTCAGCATTCCGACCCATACAGCAGTATCGGCGTGACAGTTGTCTCATATTTGCTGATTTTTGTTTTTATCAAACTGACTTTAGCCTTTTAGTCATTTAGCAGCATTAAAATCTTCAGAAAGAACTCTGCCAGCCTGTTCCTTTTCACCCCTTTCTTGCTGTGTGGAAGCCCTCTCCAAAACCCCTGTCTTTTGAAGTGTACTTGGAAGGCCCCCAATTTGGTCTCATTGAGACTGGGGAGAAGAAGTTTCAGAATCTGAACCCTCACAGATAATTATCTACCAGCCATTCCCCTCTTTTAGATGAAGGGGAAATCCATCTCAAACGCCTTTGCTGACTACAGCTGTGGCAGTGTGGCATGGGAAGAGAGGTGATCTCTGGGGTAGGCCATGTATAGTGATAACCAACATGTTAAACTCTACCAATGGGCAGTCAGTGCAGATCTCAGCACACTGGTGTCAGACGTTCCCAGGGAGGTGCTCTGGTGAGTTACAAAGCCACTGAATTCTGTATTAGCTTCAGTTTCTGTTTTAAGATGTAGCCCCAAGCAGAGTGCATGAAAACAGTCTGATCTGGTGGTAACAAAGGCATGGATAACAGTGGCAAGGACCACATCTGAAAGGAAAAGGTTGCATGCTCCTAGCCAATTAGTAAATCCTGGGTGGGATTTTCTAGAAAGGAAAGTGTTTATAAAATAAGTGTTTTTTACAACTTACTTTTCAATTGTATATGCATTTCAATAACACTCATCATGTTAGCATCTGAGTTCGCAGGGTCATATTTACAGACAATTGGGAGTAAGTGGACGTATGTGTTCTTATTAAAGCATGGAGAACTTGTATTTAACAATTAAATTATTTTTATTTAAACATTAGAAAACACAGCAACAAGAGTCTGACCAGTGGTTAGAAGGTACAATCCATAGCAACAGTAGACTCTTCTATTTACATGTTATAACTGGCTTTGTGCCTTATCTAACAAATCTAGACTAGCTTAAACTCCTGATGATAGATTGCTCTCTTTAAGAATTATTCAAGTGGATACTTTTATGACAATGTAATTTGAAATGCAAATATCTTATTTATCATCTCACATTCCACCTATCTCATTCATGCTACTGAATTATAGTAATTATCTAAGGGAATATGCTACCGTTGTAGCCTGAACTATAAACAAACAAATGAGCAATTGTATTAGTTACTGATTTCTTATGTAAAAAATGCAACCTTCTCCTTTATTTCCCAGATCTCGTCCTGTAAAAGGGCTCGGCCGAGGCTCGTCCCTCTGCGGGGCTGTGGGGTATCCCACCGCCTCGCAACAGTTCCCTATGGGCCCAGGCCCTGTGTCAGGGCAGGGCAGCAAACAAATAGTCAGGAGCTCAGGCCCTTAGGCAGGGACTGAGTGTCTGGTGCGAGGGGGAGACTGCCACCCATAAGTGGGGTGACAAGTGGGATGCAGGCCCACCCACTGCGTCCCAGCCCAGGGCCCTAGCAGCGACAGAAGACTCGCTGCTATCAGTGGGGATCCTGACCGCAACACACTGACATTGGTTCTAGCAGTGCTGCAGCCAGACCAGGGTCGGTTGCCCCCGGGCTACTTCCGGACTCCAGCTCGTAAGGTACCTGGATTAGGGCGGTGTCCTCGGAGGTTTCCAGGACCATCAGTTCCTCGGGGTAGCCGGTGAGAGGCAGGCCCGGCTGCTCCTCAGGGTAGCCGGCGAGAGGCAGACCCAGCTGGCCTGTCCAGTCCTCGGGTCGGCTGCGGCCTGCCGGCATTCCCCAACCCGGAGCTAGGCCACAGGCATCTGACCTCTCCGGTGGCTGGCGTTCAAGTGAGCTCTGCAGTTGGGCTTTTCTACTTCCTGTCCTGCGCCGTGACCTCTGAGGGGCGGGCGCAGGATCCACTGGTTCCGCCCATGTTGATGCTAGGGGAAGCTCATCCCTCCGCGGGAGTGTGGGGTATCCCACCACCTTGCTACACTTCCCAATAAACTTTGTAATTCCAACATTATGCACATTGGAAAACTTAATCCTAACTATAGATACAAAATGATGGTGTCTAAATTAGCTGTTTTTATCAAACTGACTTTAGCCTTTTAGTCATTTAGCAGCATTAAAATCGTCAAAAAAACCTCTGCCAGCCTGTTCCTTTTCACCCCTTTCTCGCTCTGGGGAAGCATTCTCCAAAACCTCTGTCTTTTGTAGTTAGGATGACCGGATGTCCCGATTTTATAGGGACAGTCCCGATTTTTGGGTTTTTTTCTTATATAGGCTCCTATTACACCCCACTCCCATCTCGATTTTTCACACTTGCTGTCTGGTCACCCTGTTTGAAGTGATCTTGTAATCATCATGGATAGATCTCTGAAAACATCTGCTCAATGTGCAGCAGCAGTCAAAAAAGCTAACTATGTTAGAAACTATTAGGAAAGAGATAGTTATTAAGATAGAAAATATCATAATGCCACTATAGAAATCCATGGTATAC